TTTTTACGTTGAATAAAATTGTAATTATTAATATCAAATTTTTAGTGATGTCGAATTTTTAGTAATATTGTGATTTTTTATATTCCGTTTTTAAAGTGATATTGATGGTATAATTAAAAAAACCATATGAAATTTGGACGAAATAAACAAAAAATTGAACGAAAATTGAATAAGTATAGGAATTTAAAAATAAAACATACGTATCACCATACTATTTAATTTGATTTAACAGTTTCATTAATTGAAAGTCTAATTTGATGCAAAAGTTTAAGTCTGATTGATGAAAAAGTTTAAGTCTGATTTGATCTGTTTAATTAATTGAAAGTCTAATTTGATGCGAAAGTTTAAGTGTAATTGATCATTGATTGTTGAGAGTCTAATTTGATAGTAAAAAATAGATATAAAAGGTGGACCAATTTCCTCGTCCGTACAAAAAATCTCTTTTTTTTTTGAAAAAAAAACCCCAATAATGACTCGTAAGAAATCATTGAAACCAAATACTCCTCCACCAAATATTGCTGAGTCGTCAACACTAGCACCACAAAATATTGCCACTTCATCAACACCAACACCTCCAAATATTGCCACTTCAACACTGGCATCATGATCGTCAGCATCAGCATCACGAAATATTGCCACTTCATCAACATCAACACCACAAAATATTGCTTCTTCAACAGCAACACCTCCAAATATTGCCACTCCGTCAACACCAACACCTCCAAATATTGCCACTTCAACACCGGCATACCGATCGTTAGCATCAACATCATGAAATATTGCTTCTTTAACACCGGTATCACGATCATCAACATCAGCATCACGAAATATTACCACTTCGTCAACACTAACACCACAAAATATTGCTTTTTCAACAGCAACAGCTCCAAATATTGCCACTTCGTCAACACCAACACCTCCAAATATTGCCACTTCAATACCAGCATCACGATCGTCAGCATCAGCATCACAAAATATTGCTTCTTCAACACGTAATATTACCACTTCGTCAACACTATCAACACGTAATATTACCACTTCGTCAACACTAATACCACAAAATACTAATACTACAGTTTCTTCATCTCCCTTTAAACTCGTTATTCCGCCAGATATTTTAGTCTCAATAGGTTGAACTCAATCTCAATCTCAACGAAATTTAACGGCTTCAGATATTATTAAAAAATATCCTAATATTAATGTACCAAAAAGTTATCATTCACATCACGAAGAAGGAACACCAAGAAGTGATCGACCAAGTAATGAAGAAGCGAGTAAATCGAATTTGTTATTTTTATATTTTGATATTTATTATATTACATCTGTTTGTTACATATCCTTATAATTTAAAATAGGTAATTTTGAGTTAGGAAATTTAAAAAAAGAAACCCTTCGACTACAGAACAAATTAAAACAAGAAAAGTCCAAAGTAGCCGGAATGAAATGAAAAATAGATAATTTAGAAGACCATGTTCGTAGGATCAAGGAGGAGAACTCCATGTTACGGGATTTTAATGAAATTTTTAGTAACGAATCGAATGAATTATGTGAAGAAAATAAAGCTCTCTGAGAAGAACTTCAACAATCCAAACAACTTCACATATCTCGAAAGATTATTAATCCTCCGCAGCAATATTCACCAAAACGTCCTAATAAAAAATTAAAATCGAGAGAGGAATCTCCTGATGAAGTTGCCGCTACAGATGCAAAAGTAAGAATTTTACAAGACTATTTGCAGCCGAATTGTGTTAATGTATATATACAGCTTTTATTATTTTATTATTTCCTCTTATTGTTTAAGCTGAAATGAAGAACCTCTTGAAAGGTCAAATACCCGAAGAATATCGGTTGGATTATGGTAAGACTTTCAGTGAACAGACAGCAAAGATATACGAAAAATTGATACCTGAATTAAAGAAGTTGATGAGTGGACATTATAATCCGTCGGTAACCCAATTGTCAGACTGGTTATGATCGATGCACAAGCATAAAAGAGATAGACAAC